GGGGGGGGGCGGGCATTCTGTCAAAGGGGAGGTGTTGCTAATAGCAGCCAATTAGATGACATCTGTCTGTTTCTTGACTTGCTTTGAAGACACTTGAATCTGATTGGTCACCTTGGCAGCAGCCTCGCGTACAATAGCTGTAAATGAAGTTTTCCCCACACTTGTACCTCCCTCACATTTCCCTTTTTAGTTGTGTGGTTTGTGTCAGAAGCCATCATGCAATGTATGTGATATTATGTTTGTGTGGTTTTAAGCCTTGGAGCACATTTGGTGTCTGTATTCAAGTGCACTTATCATTTTGTTGCAGAGTATGCCACAAAGGAGGAGAGTAAGGAAGATAGGTCCTTTCCTTGCACCTTATATTTTGGGAATTTTGATTTTATAAGAATGTTCCTAAAACTTTTTACAAAGTTTCCAATGTTCCCTAAGAGTAATATGGCTGAACACCTTCCAAAAGAAACAAAACTTGATATTATGGCGACCCTTTTGAATTCAGTACTTTCTGATGCACTCATCTGGAGCAATGGTGGGTATCTTGAAAGTCAGGGTTCTGAGTAAGAAATTTTGAGTCATTATCACTGGAGGTCTGTGTGCTGGCCTCTGCTCCGAGTTTAGTGAGAAGGATCAGCAGGCTTCTGTAAGCGTCACAGCACCCCGTCTCGGATTGTCTCAAGAGCATTATATGAAAGAACACATGTCACAGCATCTATTAGGGGACACAGTCAGTCTTCTGTGGCTGTAGAAGACTGACTGCGTCTCTTAATGCCTAGTGTCTAACCTCCTGGAGGCAGCCTCTAGGAAGTTGGACACTAGGTGAAACAGAAGGCACAACCCCGTCTATTGGCTATATGCCCCATCATGTACTGAATGAGCTCCGTTTACATAGCTTTGCTCAGTGTTATGCCAGACTTCCAAATTCAGATATTCCCTGAAGCAACCGTCCTGCTTCTATGTACCATTCTGGACATTCATTTTCTATTTGGTAGACTGCTTCCCCTGTATGTGAGCCATGTCTGTTCTCTTACCGAGTCCAGGGATATTGTAGTGGTTTCCCACAAGGTGGCAATTGAACACACATGGAGAGATCTATCCATCCTCGGTAATGAGACCTCACTACACTTAAATGGAATTTAAAGAGCCAAGGGCAGCATCTACCTTCCCTACCCTCCTCCTTCACAGCACTATCTTAAGTACACAATATTAGGTGCTCTGTAGCAATGAAGTAAATGCTTGTCCTCCATCTACTAACTGTTCTCACTTTCTGACATCAATCAACAGATTCGTTCTGTGGGCCTCAAGTCTATTCCAATGCTTCCCATTTCCATACTGAACCCTCAATAGCTGGCCTATATGGAGGTAGGTATTGTGAACATGTAGCCAATGCATTCTGGCTTTTTGTTGTGTTTTTCACTTGTCTGCTTTGCTTTACTTTGTGTGACCCCACAAGAAGTAACATTTAAAAAAAAAACTGCATTAGAGAACATTATAATTTTATTACAGGTATTTATATAGTGCCGACAATTTATACCTCGCTTTACATACTGCACATTCACATCAGTCCCTACCCTCAAGGAGCTTACAATCTAAGGTCCTCATGTCACATGCATACAGGGCCAATATAGACGGGAGTCAATTAAACTGTGAGTCAGGTGACAGTGCTGACCAATTAGTTCTCGCCATTTGCAAGCGGAATTCAAAATACAGAGCACAGGGCTGCTCTTCGCGGCAGTGTGGGGTACAGATGGGCACCAGCATTTGCCCAAAGGTAAGTATAGGGAGGGGGTAATTCCATGTTTTATCCAAACTCTCCTGGGAAAGCGGAATTACTCTTGAAGGCAAATAAAGTAAAAAGTCTTCTCTCAGCAGACAGAATAAGCATGAAAATATATTTTTACAATATGCAAAGTCTCTTTCAACAAGAAATGTCCGTATTATGTCTGTGAAGGTTCTCATTCATCCAGGTCATGGTATATCTGTAAAAAATAAGTCAAGGCAACTGGACTTGCTGTATTTTTTCTTGAAGATGTTTCACTGATCATCCAACCAGCTTTCTCAATTCAGAATGACTTGTACAAAAAATTATCTGGGAATAAATATGGTGAATGTTGCTCCAATCCACATAATCTGTTAGTCACAACCAGTTGTTGATTGCATTTGCATAATTGGAGCTAGGAGGTGTTATTAATCTGCCCAGAGAGAGGTGTTAAAGGAGCATTGTTTGTGGCAGAGAATAGCTTGAATAGAGGTGGGGGGCACCTCTATTCAAGCTTGGCGTCTCCATTCTCTGTCCATATTGCCCTATAACAAGCAAATTTCAACTTTTACTTCCATCTACCGGTGTATGAATCTGATCGGTAGCTTTAAAGCAGTAAAAGAAAATAATTGACACATCTAACAGTAAATCTCTTCACAAACAGTCATATGTATACCAAAGCAAACGGCAGAGTGGCTTACTTGCAATTTAAATTAGCAAAATCTCTGGTGGTTTATTCAGCATACCGAATGAGGCGCGAGGTTTTCAGGAGAGCCGTTCCTCCTTCCTAAGATGCTGCTGAGAAAAGGGGTAATAGCTCTCCTTAAATGTTGTGCCTCATTCTGTATGCTGAGTAAAGCTCCGGGGATTTTGTGCCTGAACCGCGATAAGCCTCACTGCCTTTCACTTTGCAGCTGTGCAGACAATCCCCCCATGAGAAGCATTTCATAAATAAGCCCATTGGCTTGCCAACACTTATGGAGCATTTCACTCTTGACACTGAAGTATATAAAAAGTAATTTAAGTGTTCTCAGAAATTAAAGCTAAACTCCGAGCACCAAAGCTGTCACTTGAAGCAGAACACAAGTATTTTTTCGAAAGCAAAAAAAACCCATCTCAAATGGGAAGTTGAAAATAGTGCATGCGTTGCTGCCGATCTCTGCTGCGTTTGCCATTTTGCTGAGTTTCCATTACCTCAGCGTTAGTGGGAAGTGGTGTCGTCTTAGAAAATCATTCATTCCTCTACTGTAGGAACTTTACATTTTTTGCCAGGAGATGGGCATGTAATAGGGTTGTTCGTTATCCCCACTCTAAAGGCCCATTCAGGCCAAATTAATGGAGGCTGCGCAGGGAAGCGTTTTCCAGTGGCGAGGCAAATTGCTTGTATACAATCAGCCCAGGTTGCACCACTGTGCTGTGTTGATGTGCACTGAATAAAAGTACTGCATGCATGGACAGCACAATGTTGTACAGTGGGGTAGAACCGCATTGCACAGCACTGTGGCTGTTAGAATGGAATGAAATGTCACTTGTAATATTTCAATAAAGTTCTAACAAAAAAGTGACCTGTGCCCTGATTGGCACTTCATCACTGTTAATGCCAGCGCACACCAACGGCAATGTGTTCAGCACAGTTTGCTGTTTCCTCCCTCTAAGGTTACCCCCATGTCCATTTCTTTTCAGGTTGATGGAGCCAAGGGCTTATTTACCGCGAGGCAAACTAGGCGTTTGCCTAGGGCGGCCGTAGTCAAACGCCTTGTTCAAACGCCTATGTTGTGAAGAGGAGGGACGAGCCGGAGCCCGTCTGTGTGTAGGAGTAGAGGGCGGCTTGCCTGCTTGTGAAGAGGGTGGGAGGACGGATGGAGGCGGACAGCGCAGCCGACGGATGGGATCGTGACTCAGAAAACGAAAAGCAGCCGGCGGCCACTTAATCGATCTTACTTCTTCCTGGGTCACAGAGCCGCTGTGACCCCGGAAGCAGTACGGCTGAAGTGACGGCAAGTAATCCCGGGGAGGTGGGGGGTATTGGTATCAGTGCGACCAGTCCCCCCTGAGGGGGGATGCTAGTAAGGTGCCGGGGGCGGCCGAAGCCTGGCTTGCCTAGGGCAGCCAAATACATAGATACACCACTGGATGGCGCTACCATTTCCTCTACTCCGCCGGCACGCTGCCTTGGGGTGCTTTTTGACTTTGACCTCTCCTTTTCCCCTCACATTCACTCTATCACTGAAGCGTGCCGTTTTCATCTGAAAAACATGTCTCGAGTTCAACGTTTTCTCACTGAGGAAATCACCAAAATGCTTGTCTATGCGCTAATCATTTCCCGACTTGACTACTGCAATCTTCTCATCAGCCTGAAACGTGCCCAGATTGCCCCCCTTCAATCCATCATGAACACTTCAGCCAGACTTCTCTACCTCACCTCCTGCTACTCTCACACGTCACTCCTCTGACAATCTCTGCACTAGCTTCCTGTTTCTTTTAGGATACACTTCAAACTTCTCGGCTTGCATCTCATCCCTTATTAGAAGATATACTCCAAATCGGCCCCTTCTTTCCATTAATAACTTAAGACTAAAGGTGCCCATACACCTTACGACCACGACTTTTGTCTTGCGATGGTCGTATGCTTATTGAAAGCTCGTACTATCTGCCCACCTTGGACAGGCAGATCGTACTTGCGATTCTTTTCAGGAATTCCCGCGATTGTCGTACGAGAATCGTACAGTGTATGGGCACCTTTAGACTCACCCGCACGCCCAACTCTTGTCTACAGGACCTCACCAGGGCTGCACCCACCTTGTGGAATTCTCTCCCACGCCACATCAGGCTCTCACTACAAGACTTTTTTAAAAAAATCCCTCAAAACGCACTTATTTAGAGAGGCGTATCGGCTCTCCCTTTGATTTTTCACCCTATACAACCTTTCCTTCTGCTCCCGTTTGACAGTACTGCCGAATCCCTCCCATTATTTGGTATACATCTGTAGTCTCCCCTTCCCCACCTCTGTATCTTTGGTCCCCTTCCTCCTTAGACTGTAAGCTTGTTTGGGCAGGGTCTTCCTCACCTACTGTTTCTGTATGTCAATGAAGCTTACTTGTTTTGTCTAAACGATTGTACAGCGCTGCGGAATATGTTGGCGTTGTATAAATAATTGTAACTGATGTGAACAGACCCTAATCCTTCCTCTTTTTTGCTATTTTATCAGCCACTTGTTAGTTGTTGAGCCATATGCAGCTACCTATCAAATGAGAATGCACAACACAGGGCAGAGCTGGAAGGAGCCTCATCGTTGTCTGCAGTCATGTGTATCTTATGCATATTTAGTAGAAGTGTGGAAAGCCTGTGACTACTGAGCTGTGCAGCCAGGAGAGATCAAGCCCAAAGGTCATAGAGAATCCCTGGTGCTGTTGCTATGCCTGCACAGCAGCTGGGAAAACTGTTGAGAAAGCCAAAAGATACATGGGTTTGCATGCATGCACTATCTTTTAACTTCCACACTCAAACATGTTTGTATGAAAAAAATATAAACTTTATTTCTGCTTTAGATATATCCATCAATAGCTACAATATTATATAAACTTTGTGTGCATCAAATGCCTTTGTAAACCCAGATATATCATGTAAAGATAGCGGTGACATCACTATGCTGTACATTGCCTATGCATTGAGAGACTGTCGGAGGGATCCAAAAAGGCCCCACCCATTACAGGCTGCCTGCAGAAATTTACAGGAGGGGCAGAGACGAGACCAGTCACCCTGCACAAGGCGAGAAAGCAGCAGTGAGAGGTCTTTATTACAGGAGGGGGAGAAGACCAGACCAGTCACCCTGCACAAGGGGAGAGAGCAGCAGTGACCCATCTTTATTACAGGAGGGGGGGAAGACCAGACCAGTCACCCTACACAAGGGGAGAGAGCAGCAGTGACCCATCTTTATTACAGGAGGGGCAAAGACCAGACCAGTCACCCTACACAAGGTGAGAGAACAGCAGTGACTGGTCTTTATTACAGGAAGGGGCGGAGAACAGACCAGTCACCCTGTACAAGGAGAGAGCAGCAGTGACCCGTCTTTATTACAGGAGGGGGCGGAGACAAGTCACCCTACACAAGGAGACAGAGCAGGGTGCCAACATATTTGCCCAGTCTTCTTCCAGTTTTGGGATCTTTGGCCATCTTGATTGGCTGCACTGTTATGATGCCACTTCTGCACATTTGCACACAGAAATTCAATGATTCCGGCACCCAGGGGATGCTGGGATTGTGCACTAAGCGGCACACGCGTTCTTAGGAAAATTGCAGGCAGGCAAGTAAGCGTCCTGTATTGTAGAAGAGGCATGGTATGTGTCTTCTGCAATCCAAAGCCTGGCTGTTCACAAACTCATTTTCTAAAGTTCCCCTTTAAATTATTTTACCATTTGTACCATTTTTATTTGTCTGTTTTCTCATACAGTTCAGTCAAAGTGAAATACTACATTGGCTTCAATTGGATATAGATTATTTCCCTTCTGTATTATTAATGAAATGTGTTCACTGGCACGGTTTTCTTTTCAGAGGAAAGGATTATGTGATTGTGTAAGTCAGAATGTGGTTGGTATGGTCAGAATTTGGCATCGACCACATCGATCCTTTCTGTCTCATGTCAACAGTTTAAACCAGTGTAAGGGAATATTTTACTGACACTTATTAACTAAAGTTAAAAACAGAAACTCTTGACAGTAAACAGCAAAAAGTTTTGATAGACTTTCTGTCTCTTCTCCCCAAAAAAACAAATCCTCCTTGATGTGTTTGCCAACTATTTGTTTTATGGCCACTGACTGCAGAGCGCACACAGTGTACATGCTCAGCATCTGTTAGATGCTAAGCGTAGGAGCCGGGTGTCAGGATAATGTAACTCCAGCCTGCGTACCCAGCAGTTACATTATCACTGGCTGACCTGTGGCTGAAGAATAAAGACTTTGGGCCAAAAGAACAGTAAGAGATTGAAGCAGTGTTAGGGAGCGGAGACCTTGCATCACTGGAGGAGGGACAACTCGGCTACGTTTGCCATATGCTGCACATACCCTCAAATTATGACAAATGCTGCTGCAGCCCACTCAGAGTTCTGCTCGCCACACTCCTTGCTTGGATGTACTAAAGCACAGACCTTAAACAGGCATTATACCCATGACACCATCAGACAAACACAGCTATTAGTGCGGTCAAGATGAGTATGAGTGGATGATCAGTGGCTAGATGCACTGCTTGGCCAAAAAAAGTCACCACCTGGATTTAGCTAATAGTTCAGAGCCTTCCATTGGATACTAGCCCTAGGTTCAGCAATGTTATGTGCCAAGAAAGAGGTCCGATGCCTACCCGAATATACTGCATGACCAGGAATTTTCATCAATGGATTTTTTCCTCCGCTGATAGCACATTGGGCATATTCCAAGATAATAATGTCAGGATTCATCAGGCTCAGATTGTGAGAGAGTGGTTCAGGGAGCATGAGGCATCATTGTCACCCCATTGAGAATCTTTGGGATGTGCTGGAGAAGACTTTCCAATGGTCCGACTCTCCCATCATCACTACAAGATCTTGAGGAAAAAGTAATGCCACTCTGGATGGAAATAAATGTTGTGACATTGCATAAGCTTATCGAAATGATGGCACAGTGAATGTGTGCCACACCTAGGCGTTTTATCGCGCAAAACAGAGATTTGCATTCAAGTCTATGGAAGCTGTTCACACCTTTGCGGTTTGTTGCGCAGTAGAAATCGCCTGTCACGCAAAAAGCTGTCTTTTTTATGGCCTGGCGGTCTATAAAGCCATTTTTTTTGTTTTAGCTAAAGTAGAGAATTTAAAACCCCTTACATTTTTTTGTGCGGTCTGTGGGAAGATATCCCTTCACTTCCTGTCCTGGAGACACAACAGAAAGGGAGTGGAAATCCACTGTTAGGGCTCGTTCACACACTACAATGTCATGTTTAGTTTACTGGTTTGTATTGAGATTGTAGTCCATTACAGGAGCAAGCTTGGAGCGGTGACTACTTTACAACACACACAGGGACCATGGGGAACAAAAGTAGCCCCCCTCCAGAAGAAAGGACAGTGTCAGCACCAATTCAGAGATGATTTGAGGATCTGCAGCCAAGTGATACACAAATAAGATACATTTTTGATAATATTTAGGGTATTTGAATGCATTTTTAAGTTTTAACCCCTGAGTTTAGTGTCCCTTTAAAAAAAAGGTTTGGGTATATGTACACACTCATTCTAACTGAGCACCATTTGAATGCTGCATTGTACCCGAGTATAGTTGGTGACCACGTGCATTCCTCTATGGGTAGTAGATGTACCTTAATACATTTGCTGCTCAATATACTTTTGTAGAACCCAATAGGGTTCTACATCAGTCACGGCTTTGTAGCTTCTGGCGTGTTTCTTTTTGTTTAATGTTCTGTGTTTTTTTTAAATTATTATTATTACTTGTAAAACTCATTAAAATGCAAAGTTAAAAATGATCTAGTAGAATTGTAAGTCGCAGTTTATCAATCAGACTAGTGTGTTTTTTGCCGTCAAATTGTTCTCTGTTTAGTAGGATTGATGGGGAGCTGTGGGACTGAGCTTGGCTGTTCTTGCAGAGCTCTGTATGGGGGAATCTGCTATCACACAGTTCTTTAATGTTCACCACTTGGCTGCGTTCCCTGTCCACCTGATGTGTGAAAAGGAAAATCTCTGTATAAAGGAGACTTGGCAGAGACTCGATCCAACTGTTACAGGGATGTATCCAACTTTATTTCCATGGTTCTTCACTTCGTGCTTTGTGGCAAAATTATGAAAGCTTGCGTGTAATGCAACTGTGTAAATTTCTTGCTAAGCTGGACTGAGTTATGGATAAGCTTATCCTCCTGTCTGTGTTTAGTATGTAGCAGAGAAGGCTTTACCCTTACCAAAATCCATGCTTTATGTTCCCAATGTAGCTTTACCCGTGCTTGGTTTTTGTGAGCGGCAGGTTTGCTTTATAATTGTTTTGCTGGCCACAGATCGCGGAGGATTTTCAGATATGCCCACAGGATCCAGCCACCCTTTGGGCTCTAAGCTGGCAAAGCAGGGTGAAGCAATGGGTACTGTAGAAGCTGCACCCTTAACAGTGAAGCGTGGGTAAAGCGGTAGTTATCGGTGCTGCCGATCAGCTCCATGCAGCTGATCTTTTTTCCATTGTCTGGGGAGCCTCTATAAATGTGGTGGAGTGTGTGGAGACGGCCTTCTTGGTGGAGGCAGGGCTTTTACACCTTTTGGGGAAAGCTGCCCCTCTGATGACTGGTGGGGTAATGTATGAAAAGCAGGAGAGATGGGGGAAGCACAGATCCCGAAAGTGTATGAAGAGGGAGTAGGGCGATGCTTACACTGCAGGTCCTCAGGTAAAGCTTCCTCTCCAGCAAGGAGCACAGGGATGACATCAGCAAATCTAGTGTGGCCAACAGTGGCAGCATTGCCTTAGATGATCTCACACTGCAGATGTACAGCTTTGAGTTGCAGGGTACTGTGTAGTCCTAATTACTAGAAGTGCACCGAAATAGAAATTTAAAAAACGAAACCGAAATTTAAAAAAATTGTCAGGCCGAAAATGTTTTTATTTTAATTTGTTCAACTTTTTAATATTTTAATTTAATGTTTATAAACTTTTTATATTTGTATTCATTTTTTATTATTTTTTTTAACTTTTAGGGGCTTCAGGGAAATATTGGGGGTCTAAATAGACCCCTGATATTTCCCTTGTAAAATAGAAAAAGAGATTGGAGAGACGGGTCCTCGACCTCTTTTTCTGTGTCCCCTGTTATCAATGAACAGGACTCCTCTATACTGAGTTTTCCTGCTCATTGATAACATGAGGACAGAATATGTTTACTATAATCCCAATCATGAATGAACAGGAGGTGATTTAGCGCAGTCCCATTCATTCATAATTGAGGGTATTGTACACATACCATCTTCTCAATTATCTACACTCACTGATCACTGACTGCTTGTACCCGCTCTCCTCTCCGCCCCCACACTGCTCTGCTGGACTGTGATAAGAGGCTGAGCGGTGTGGGAGGAGACACCGGCTGCTCACCGCGCTCTCCTCCCGCAGCGCTCGGCCGGCTGTCATTTTTTCTCCACCCGCTGGGACACAGCAGCGCCTAGCGGGGAGGAAAGAAAGAACGGATGCGCCAATGTATCTTCAGGAAAATGGCATTTTCGGCCGATATAACAGTGCATCCCTAACCATTACTAGGGATATACTGACACAGAGTATTTGGGCAAGTACTCGTACTTGCCCTAATACTTTGATACCTTCCCTGATACCGGAACTTCTGGTCAGAGGGAGATTTCCTCTGACCGGCAGAGCCGCGAGCGAACATGTAGGGAACATGTAGCCGGCTTTTCGGCCAATCAGGAAGCCAGGTAACTGGTATTGCCCTGGCTTCCTGATTGACCGGTAAGCCGGCTCAATGCTAATTGGGTGGGAAGCAGGCTTCCCGGCCAATCAACATCGAGCTGGCCAAACAGCCGGCTCAATGCTGATTGGTTGGGAAGCAAACCGAATGGGTCTGGCTTCCCAGGTAATCAAGAAGCCGGGTGGCTGGAAATAAAATGCCGCACAGCTTGCTGATTTGCCTGGAATGCTGGCTCCTTTCCTCCATTGGAAGTACTGGTATGTGTACTCTGTATCCGGCAAGTTCTGAAAAATAATTGGTACTCGTACTCAATACCGAAAGACTGGTATCGGTGCATCCCTAATAATTACCATTTCTGTTACCATGAGACACTTTTTCAATTTAGATACTCTTCTTTTTTTTTTTAGCTAAACTGTTGCCACTGTAGAATTGCCACTTTTACAACGTCAAGAATATCCTGAAATCTTTGTCTTATCTGTGTGTTTCCAACTCATTGCCATTCGGAGCTCCCCTTTTACTATGATTTGTAATACTGTGTTTTCTTGGTACGAGATGACATCACTTTTCTCTAACACATTCCCTTCAAAGTATATAACCGATTTCTGTATACACCTCTAGCCCAGTTATCTTAGGCGTCTCATTCTTGATAGCTACAGTTCAGGTTTAACAATGACCCGAGAGTGTTTTATATTTTGTCTAAATGACTCCTGTTAAAATGTAAGATGAAGGTCTTGATGATTGTATTCTCCAGCTACAGTGACATGATTTTTTGTGGTTTTCAGGGTTCACCCCATCACTAGCTGTTCAACCACAGACCTCTGGTGGCCTTAATGTCGACTTTGATTCTGTTTTTGGCAACAAGTCTCTCTCTAACATCAATGTAGACTCCGCCGGTAAGAAAACATTTCTACTTTCTCTTGCTAAATGTTAGTAACACTCCAAGCTTCAGAAGGGGAAACGGAATAGTTGTAGGTGATATTCATCTGAAATGTATTGGCATGAGGAAATAGAGGAGATTTAATCCGAGTGATGCTTTTATTTTCAATTTACACTGAAAAAGTTTCAGGTATAAGTCCAGCCAAAAGTTCTTTCTTAGTTTTGGATTAAGGGAGGTACGGCTAGACACCCCTGCTATCTGGGGATCTGTTCGAAAGATTTACCTTCTGGTCCAGCTGATGTTTTACTGGACAGGAAGTGATCCCCATCTTTTTCACAGGCAAGTCAACAGATAGCTGAAGTTGCATGCAAAGATCATCTTTTCTAGTAAAAGTCTAGTTTGGCTCCACCTTTGGTACCTTCCCATGTTTATCACCAGGCAGATTACAGTATTGCTAGGGAGGCAGGAGGAGAGGAGCCGGGCTCAACTTTTTAAGGAAATATTTGCATATGATTTAAGTTGCCCTCATGTCTACAGGTGCATATACATCTTTAACCCCTTCGTGGCGGGAGACGTACACTGTACGTCCCGCCACAAAGTGCCTATATGACTGGCCACGTACACTGTACGTAATGAGTTATTTAAGGCTCTGTAATGGCGTTAAGCGCTGATTCTCAGAGGTTACCAGTCATTAATGAATGCCTCAGTATAGGTTCACTTTTAAGCTATTGGTCTGTGATTTCTTCTATGTTATTCTTATTAAAGACACCCCGTTTTATGGAATCTGCAATGTTTTTCTTTTGCTAGAATGTTCTGTGCTTTCTGGTATTCTGCGTCCAGATAGAATCAAGATCCTTGTATTTTGTTTTTAAGGTTTTGACGACATGGGTGGACTCCTCAGACCAACACTAGCTTTACAAAACGCAAGTGCTCCCTCCAAAAACGCACCATCCAAGCTGGTGTCTGACGACTTGGACTCCTCGCTGGCCAACTTAGTGGGCAGTAAGTTTGGGAATAGCTCTGCTTTTTTCCCCTGTAGTTAGGCATTAAACTTTGCTCATTCCCTTGTTTTTCTCTCTTAGATCTGGGCATCGGGAACGGAACAACAAAGAAGTGAGTGTAAAATTGGACTCCAGTTTTTGTTTCTTTCCACTTCCTGTGTGAAATAAAAAAAAAAATCAAAGTACTACTTCCCCTCTCCACACTCCAGCACTGTCCATGGCTTCCTCCTCAATCCAGAGTCAACGGTCCTTTTTGGGCAGAACAGTCCTGTCCTGCCCATTTCCTGTCCACCCAGTGTAGTGGTAGGGCCCCATTCACTTGCAAATGGCTGCCAGTCTCAAGCCGTCTGCTCACAGGTAAACGCAGCATGAGTCCTTACATGCGAACAGTGCAGAATACATTAGTCTCATGAGGAATTTGCGAGACTTTGCAACCTGGCCCCATTCACAAGTGTGAATGGGTCCTTACCCTAGGGTAGGGGTAGCCAAACTCCGGCCCTCCAGCTTTGGTGGAACTACAAATCCCATGAGGCATTGCAAGATTCTCACAGCCACAGACATGATTTCTGGAGAGAGATGCCTCATGGGATTTGTAGTTTCACAACAGCTGGAGGGCCAGAGTTTTGCTACCCATGCCCTAGGGGGTAAGTCATAACATGCTTGATTCACAGTACTCCTAGACTGAGCAGTGCTCACAGATCATTACATGCCTGAAGTTCTGTTTTACAAAGTGAGTCTGTTTTTTTTTTTGCTGTGTCCTGTTGGGGAGGTTTCTCTTTTCACTTCCTGTCCTGGAGGTGCAAAAGGAAGTGAGAGGATGTCTCTACAAAATTGGGTTATTTGCTAAGTCATCCAATGTGAATAGCAGAGGTTTATAAACTGAGCAGCTCATGCAAATAGTTGCAAGGAAGTAAACTGTAACATCTGTCCCCTTTATGGAAAAAACCCCCAAACATTTCCTTCATTTTATCCGCTAAATCGGGAACAGCAACAATGACAACCTCTTTTCCGCCGTATAACTGCTGCACGGATTGACAACATTGCAGCGATTTAATGGCAGGCAAAATAACATGGTCACAGGCGTAAAGCCGCGGACTGACGAGATCACCAGGTATTTTAATAAAAGAATAAGTTCACTTTTAGAAAGTTACAGCAGGAAATGTTACTTGTAGTTCAGCATTTCCAGTTTGTCTATACTTTATAATGATCTTTATTACCTACGTTTGCAGACAGGAACTCTATAGCACAGGCAGGCATGCTTGTTTTTCTCCAATTATAACCAAGTTTGTGATCATTTTCCACACATCACCACTTAGTGCATTTCTTGAAATATTTTGTAGTGATGTTCATTGGAATCAACCCGGAGAAAAGAGACTAACAGGAGGAACTAACTGGCAGCCAAGGTTGGCCCCCACCACCACCTGGAACCCAGCCACCCTGGTATTGATCTTTCCTTTTTAATGACTGTAAGGGTGTGTGTGTGTGGAGATTGCATGTTTTCTTACAGTCTGCAAACATTGCAGGATTAAAGGGCAGCTCCAATCAAACAGTTAAAGCCCCACTGACTTCTTAAAAGAAATTGCAGCCATTATTCCGGTTACAGCAATATGACAGCGGTTTAATATCTTTGCTGTCGTACCTTTGCTCATGGGCTGCTCTGCCACTGCTGATGGCAGAGCTATTGGTGTAACTCAGCAAGGGGGCATATTGGACCACTGTAGCGGGATTACTGCGTTCATGACTGTGACAGTATTAGTGGCAGTCCAGCATCTGTACGCCGGTGTCATGGTTAAGACTTTGAAAAGCTGTCATTTTGCTGCACCCTGAAATATGGGCGTATTTTGTTCTAAGACTTCATTTGCTCTTCAAAACCCAAAGCAAATGGCTAATTATACAACTGAAATCCATATATGTGACCTGTATTGCCTGCAGAAGGATTTGCAGGTCGGTCCATCCTTTCTTGTAACAACTGCTTGAACAGAGGTGGTGATTCTGACCAGTGAATGTGGATAGCAACACCGACCGTATAGAATGACTAGATCAAACCGTGTATGTGTTGTGTTTCTAATGTGTTTTTAGCTCTTAGCATTTGTTAAGGTATTTATATAGCAGCGACTATTTACTCATAACCATAAATCAGGGATGCACCTATTCCGATACTGGTATCGATGCCGATATCGAGTCTTTGGGCGAGTACTCGCCCAAATGCTTTGATACTTACCTCCGATACTGGGACTTCCAGTCAGATGGAGATCTCCTTCTGACCAGCAGTGCAGAGGGAGCCAGCTTCCTTTCCAATCAGGAAGCCAGGAGGTGGGTTATGACCCTCCTCCCGGCTTAGTGATTGGCTAGGAAGCCGGCTTCACTTGTTAGGCAGCCTGGCTTCCTGACCAGTCAGGAAGCCGGATGGCACCTCATGACTCGCCGCCCAGCTTCCTGATTGGTCAGGTAGCCTCAGCAAGTGAAGCCGGTGTTCTTTCGCTAGAACACCGGCTTCACAGGCATTTAGGAAGCCGGGTGTCATGATCAGTCAGCAAGTTTGTATTCAGGCTATAGAAGCTGCCAGGCAACCAGCATTTTTGGGACGTGGTAAGCATTGGCAGACTTCACCTATCTCTTTCAACAGTTTATATTGGAAACACTTAAGGAGAATAGATATCGCTATTCGCTGTCTGACAGATGCAGTTTTTACACTAAAAAGAGCTGGTGAAGCCTGTGTGTCCCGCAAAATATTCTCTGCATAAAGCTGTAGAAATCAGTCTAATTGGAGGAGAGGCTGGTCACATGACTTTGGTCAATGAGTGGTCTCTCCCCCTGTCCTCCTTTCATTGGGGAGGGGGGTTTCCCGAAGCTAGCAAAATTTGAGGGAGCATTTGTAAAGCACGCTGATACATGATGTTTGATCATGAAGGACCCGCCATTTTCCAACCCCCTGAATGTTAGTTCAAAGTGAGCTGCACGCAGTAAGTAATGCAAGGAATCCTTTAGTCCGAATATATAAAAATCATTGAACTCTACATTCCATAGTCACCTGTGTATTAGAAATGAGGCTGAGAATGGTGCTGAAAGTCAAACGGGCTCCTATTCCATTGCACAGAGCAGGACGTTGGGTGGCTTACGGGAGTCTGAGAACTAATCATCCTTGGAAGGCCGCTCCTGTCCATTGAGAAGTCTGGCTGCAGACAGAAAACTTGTCACGCTACAGAGAGCTCTAGATTATGGTGTCACCTTCCTGCAATGTATAATGGAGCAGGGATGTGTGAATTACAACCATCAATGATGTAAATAAATTAAACATGCCCTGTATGCAGTAGAGATGGGTATTTATTCATGCAAATAGATGAGTTGGAAGGCTAAGCTCACATTCAAGACCCTCCAGCCATTGCAACATATCAAGTCTGTGCCTTACATGCTTCAGATGCCTTTAATGGCTGCCCGCTACTCAGCACTCCGATATCCTACCCGTGTGCAGAGGAGATGAAGACAGCTGTAGTGGTTGGATCCATGTATTCTCCCCAGGATAGATCAGACCCAGTTCACCAGCCCACTAGCAGCAGGAGTCATCATTTAGCCTACTGTCCATGATCGGGTAGCTTTGGCGGAATGGGGCACAATGGGGTCATGTGACTGAGAGTTAGAGGAATGGTTACTCGGTGGATCATTTCAATGTTTTGGGATAGAACTCCATTTTCTATAGGAATGCCTTGTACTGTAATAGAGATTTTACGGTATCATCCGTTAGGAAAGTTTGTAGTTCGTGGGAGGAGATGGATCCAAAATGTTGAAGATGAAACTAATGTTAAATGTTTTTTTTTACCGTTTGCAGTCACATTTGAGAATTCCCCAAGATCACCAGGATTTATCAGGATTATACATAGCGCTCTATAGCCAAGTTATTAGGGTTCTCCCGATACCAGTTTTTCAAGTACAAATACTTTCCCTCAGGTACTCGCCAATACCAATTACCAATACTTTTTCTTAAGAGGGCAAGTGACATTTTTTTCTAAAACAATATAGATTGATGCTTTTAGGGCAGTTTCTTTTCATTATGAAGAACTCTAACTCAATACATGATTATTCAGCAATGGAGAATGCCAATCGGCAATAGTGGACTACAGATCCCATCAATCCATAATTTTACAGCAGTGGAGAATGGCAACCGACTATAGAGGACTACAAATGTTTTGTTCCCCATGGTCCCTGTGTGTGTTGTAAAGTAGTCCAAGCTCGCTCCTGTGATGGACTACAATCTCATGTTTAATGTACTCATTTGTATTGAGATTGTTGTCCATCAAGGGAACAAGCTTGGAGCGGTGACTACTTTACAACACACACAGGGTCCATGGGGAACAAAAGTAGCCCCCCTCCAGAAGGAAGGACAGTGTCAGCACCAATTCAGAGATGATTGGATGTTCTACAGCCGAGTGGTACACAAATACATTGTTGTTCATAGTTGAGGTACTTGAATGTATTTTTAAGATTTTTCTCCTGAGTTTAGTATCATTTTAAGGATCAGTGAAGCTTTGATTGAGCAATTAACTATACATTTCCCTCCAGAGTACCTTGAGGAGGAAAGATCAACATTGGAATCTTTCAGGCTTCATCGGTTTCCTTTAAAATAACAAAATCCATGCCACCAGCTTGGTCACCCTATAGGCCACAGTAGCAGGATTGCCCCTTCTTTGCCTGTTAATGGAAAATGTATGGGGAAGAGTTTGCATTTATACACTATATGGCTGAAAGTTGTGGGCATTTGTCCGTCACTCCTTCCTATATGGCCAAGAGTATGCAGCAACATTTCCAATTTATTGAGTTAAGGTGTTTCCAGTTTGAGTACTGTTCATGCTACATCACACACATTTTAGACCATTGTGCTCTTTTATCCTTGTGGTAAGTTTGTCGAATGTCCTCTTCTGTTAAAGCATGACTGTGTTCCTCACAAGATCCATAAAGACATAGTTTGACCAGTTTGGTGTGGAGGAACAAGAATGTCCTGCACAGAGCCCTGACCTCAACCCTACCGAACATGCATATAGATTCTTGACCTGACAGATATATATTATTCACACACACTAATACTCTCACTGTGTTCTTGTGAAATGTTGATGTGTGTGTACTGTTTAAGTTTTTGTTCTAATCTTGTGTTATTGCATTGAATAACTGTTCGTCCTGATGAACAATGAAACAGAATGGCATGCATTTTCCATCATACGTAAGTTGAACAAAACGAAAACTGCCTTTCTTGCTGTGAATTGGTCTGCTTTGTATTAACCTCCGGCGCAGCACAGCCACCTCACACTAATCAGGTTTTGATTGTGTGCTTAGAGATTTGATTTTCCCCATTGCACCTCCTCTGGCTCTCCCTACATCCTTCCTTCACTAATGGCATGGAGTGTTGGCACCTGGTTACTGTCGCTTACACTGCTACACTCTTCTTCCTCTGTGCTTGGTTTGGATTCATTTACTGAATGATCTGAGCTATGAAAGACTTAAGAGCCTGCCACAGAGGCAGCACTGCCTGCAAGTGTATCCGTGGTGCCTTTCTGTGGGACATTGGAGCCCAACCACCTAGATCAAGTCTTGTGTGTCGCGTTCTGAATGTTGTAAAGTAAACCTTGACACAAATGGAAACTTGTTCCCATTTTATTACATGATAGTAGACACTAAAGCAGCCATTCTTAACCAGGGTTCCTCCAAAGAATGTTAGATTTACCATGAGCTGTGGCTCATTGCCATCCCATTAGACAGTACCTTCCTAGTATTGGGGCCAATGCTATTTGGAAGAGCCAGTATGACACCAGAGATCTTTTTATCTGACTGAAAGGGTGCTTTTTTTTTTACCACTGGCCTCCTATACGGTGCATTTATCCCACTGGCCTCCTATACGGTGCATTTATCCCACTGGCCTCCTATACGGTGCATTTATCCCAGTGACCCTTGAATTGTTTTTAGCAGGGCTTTCACTAGACATGACAATTATTTCTCTGGTGTAAATATAAGTTGAGAAAGGCTGCTCTAAAGTATCAGCATGTATTTATTATGGTTTGCGAATGTGTTTTTCTGTCTCAGAAACCCCATACCCAAATCGCACAATTTCAGGTGTTATGGTAGCACCCCTGACTCCTAAAGTTCGTCACAAACTTAGGTGAAATCAAACCAGACATTGACCCATTTTTGAGGTCATCTTCACTGCTTTGCTTAGCAGCTATGACGCACACCATAAGACAGCAGGATACAAGGCTCAGAGCAGAAAGCAGAGAGGCTCAGTAAAGACTAATTTGAGTTTAACATGCAGAGAATTATCTGATGGTCTACTTAATAGGGCTAAGTGGTTTGGATTATTATATTATTATGCAGGACTTGTATAGTGCCAACAGTTTATGCAGCACTTTACGAGGAAGTACCATTATTAAAAAGCCTCAAGGCAGGACGGTCAGGAGGGCCCTACTCATGGGAACTTAAAATCTAAAAGGATGACCCTGTCAAGTGAGGAATCATTTTTTTCAGGGCTCATCTTAAATGGAAAAATGTTTTGTGACAGTATTACCTGGTGTCCTGTTTTGGGATCTCAAGAGTTCCAATTAAACATAACTGAAAGCATGAAGTCTTCAGAAAGAGATTGTTAGGCTAATGTTGATGCCCCAACCCAAAGGATGTGCAACTGTGATTTAGGCTGCAACAATACTGCGGCTCATTGAAACCTACCTGTATCAAAGCAACTCATGGTGTTATCTGTAGGAACAAGTTTTTTCTTTATCTTTATGACCTGATTGTTTTAAAGAGCACATGCATGAGGTGTTTCCTTTTGTTTTTATAGGGATAGTTCTCCTTTTCACAAAAAAAAATGAAAAGGTGAACTAATGTACAATTGACCCTTGTCCACTGCCAACGCCAGGCTTGATAAAGGTCCTTACATTTGAAAACTTCACTACACAGCCCCAGGAGCTGTATAGCGCTGTGATGCTGGAAAAGGGAGTGGTGGTTGGTCAGTGGGGCCTCTCTACTGCGCTTACCAATGAGAATCTGTTCTGAGCTGCCTTTTTTTTGCGACAATGTACCAGAAGAAATAAAGCTGGCCACACACATAGATTAGCTGCAGATTATGGTCAGATGGAAAAAGTGCAACAGATTCCCCCATCTACGCTAAACTGTGTGGATGAAGCAATCTCCCACTGGGCCAAGCGTCTGTATCTTGCTAGTCGTAGCTCATTGGGAGGTTTAATGGCCATTTATGATATACCAAATTAGTTGTTTTTTTCTTCGTTTAAGCTTTTTGTGCTTTCCTTGATGTCTTGTTATTTTGGATTTGTTTGATTTTGTTGATCTCTGATAAAATGAAACTTCCTTCCTTGATTTGCATATCTCAGCCTGAGTTGTGGAAGCTGTGTCCAAGAATAGGCAAAGGACTAGTCACCAGTATTACCCGTAGGCTTCCTGCTGCCGATCTTTTCCCCTTTACTGATCCCATTCCAGGAAAAAGGAAGAACCCACAAAAAAATAATTAGCATCTGTCATTGTTCCACTTTTAATAAAACGTAGACTTTGCTTTTTGATTCAACAGAATATTTGAAATGATAAATGAAAATGGCAAGGATAAAAATGATCAGACCCTTTAACCTAAAAAAAAATGTTTGCATTCTTTATATAAAGCATTTTTCCAATACAACAAAAGGAAAAAGGAAGTGCACAGGAAAAAGGCATAAATCAACTAAGTAGGGCACAAGGTAATAAAAATCATAAAGGCAACATTTAGCCATATATCTTCCCAGGGTAAAGGTAGGAAAGACCCAGGCATCTCCGTGGATCTGAGGGAACTCGGGAATACTGTACACAGGAGAAATGCAGGTGTTGAGGGTCAAGCCACAGAGTAATTATCTGTCACCCAAGGTAGCTGCGCCCGATCAAGAAAATTTGCAATAGGGAGAATAGGCACGAGGCCTTAAAACAAAAGGCAGCAATCCCAGGGGGTCCCATGTTACAAGGCGTGAAAGGAATGTGCACAGTATGCCAAGAAAGAAGAGCAGAACAGAGAGAAGACGATGAGAAGAAACGCAGATTTCCATACAATTTTTAGGAACAATCACTGCAAACGAGCAATTTCTGTAGCTCTCAATGAGATTTCTATACCTGCCAACAGGTACAATAGTTTGGCTCACTCAGCTGGAACAAATTGCTCAGGAAGTCTCAGGTTTGAAGGGTGCTTTCTGCAGACGGCATGATCAGCTTCTTCCATAGATAGTAGTCAGATCAGGGCTCACAGGAGGCCACTTCATTTTAGTCCCATGTTTTATTCTTGGCCATTCCTGGGTGCTTTTAGCTGTGTGTTTTGGGTCATTGTCTTATTGGACAACCCATGATCTGCGACTGAGACAGAGCTTTCTGACACCGAGCAGTACATTTTGCTCCAGTATTTCTTGATAGTCTTTAGATTTCATTGTGTCCTGCACAGATTGAAGGCACACATGCAGCAAAGCAGCTTCAAAACATAAACACTTCCACTCCATGTTTCACGTAGGTGCGGTATTCTTTTCTTTTCTTTTGAATGATGATACAAACAGCAGGCTGACTAATTGTCTCCAAATAGGCTGAATGACGGAATACAAAAATGAAGACGTGATACTAATTACAGAAAACAATTTGAAATATCATTATGATCCAATTATATATAATCTTTTCTAGGGGTACCACCAAATCTTTCCAGGACGTTGTCGGATCTTTGTATTATAAGCAGTAATCTTTTCACATTTTCTGTGCTTTACTCCGGGACATACTTAGGCATGCAGGCATACATGAGGCAATTTCTTTAAGCCCTCATTCACATTTACCAAGTAGGTGTGATTTGGAATGCCTGCGTCAGGGGCTTGCAATTTTCTGCAGCAGGAATTCCAAATCTTCCATTTGCAAGCAGCAACTGTTACCTGTTCGAGTTAAATTCCTAACTGCATGTAATCGTATTGTATACAGTTAGGCCTCATTCACACTGATGAGAGACAGCCCATACCAGGCCGCTCCTGGGAAGGACAGGTGCTGCATGTGATTTGTACTCGCTGGTGTCTGTACTCGTACGCAGACGGGATGGATCCTGTCTGCGTCCGAGCAGACACCCGCACGGACGTGCAGTTCGGCTGAGCGTACGGCCTCGTCTCCCATAGAGAAAAGTCGGCTGCTGCGTACAATCACACGCAGCACCTGTCCTTCCCGGGAGCTGTCCGATATGGCTGTGCAGGCCAACTTATCAGTGTGAATGAGGCCTAACGTGCGGTTTGTCAGCATTCTGTCACCCGCTCGTTTACTTGAATGGGTGACGACTGCCGCTTGTAAACGGCAAATTAGGGATTACTGCTGCAGCAGTTCCTAATTGCACCTACTTGGTAGGTGTGAATAAGGGCTTAATATCACTTTTCAGGAGGAATGAAACATTGCTTCAATTAGCCGTAAGGCTACCAACAAATTTGTCCATGTTTGTAAGGTGTATGTCCACGTGTTACCCAAATTTACCCCCAAATCCCCCTCTCTGAATCATGTCCCATTGTTATTTATTTTCCTTGTTCCTATAGCAAAAAATTGCTTTTACTAATACTCTGGGACATCATCACTGGGATTGTAAATTTCTTGGGGAAACAGCTGCTAGGATGTCTGTTGTCATTGGCATGTGACATGCCCACAGAACTACATTTCCCAGGAGCCCTTTTCCTGCACATATTATGTAAACAGGGAGCCAAGACAGCAGTTTTGCTTGGAAAGACATCAATGAATGCATATGGAGTGGGACAAAGAGGGATGGGGAAAGGTGGAGTTCTGTAGTCCAGCAGGCAGGGCTGACAACTCTGATTGGGATTTCAGTGCAGCACTGTGTTCTCGGCTCAAACAGGAAGATAGAAGCTTACGGAATTTCTGGAAGATCAACAGTAATTTAAGAGAACATAAACATGGGGTGATGTGCATGCATTGCAGTGATGTGCCGAGTATTCTTTATTTTACCCTGACATACTCTATAAGCCAGGCTCTTTAACTGGAATATTCAGAGAAAACAAGCCTTTAGATGGACCTGTATGAAGGGCTCTTTATTGCAGTAGCCTACATTTGTGTCCAGCCCATATAGTCAGTGTTCTGTACAAGCATAACGTTTTATAGATTGTGATATTTTCCAGCAGCCAAGTCTTGAGCTGCCGCTTTGCATACAAGAAGTCTTTTTGAAATGTATTTAGAACAGACTTGCAGGAGATGGCCGCCTAGAGCTTTCCCTTTATAGATTTGGGTGCTGCAGTGTTATCTGTCTAACGCAGGTGGTTGGTTCTGCTCTGTGCTTGCTTCAGAAATGTAACGTTCTCCATGCTGGTGAGAAGGAGACTTTTTAATTCACTTGCAGGACCTTTTCATGAATTTACCAATTTGAATTGCATCTAGGAAACCATGTAGCCTGTTGCTTTGGATCGGTCACACACACTTTGCCAATCTGCATGGCCATTAGTTTAGGACTTGCGTTGTGCTTTTATATATGATGGTTATGTGTAAAAACTGATTGGTTATCTTTGTTACAACAGGCACCGCCAATCATGGCCTATCCAGCCACAACGCCTACAGGAATATCTGCATTTGGAATGGTAAGCTCAGTTCCCTGTGCAAACTATTTTATTTTTGGATTGTAGTGCGGTATCCCTTCGTTTTGCCATAAGTATTCAATTTGGAAAATAAAAACAAAAGATGTGAGGACCCCCGAATATGGTGCTGCTTTTATTATTTTTTAAATTCCCCTTTACTTTTCCTGTAAATTTCGTTCCAATTGACTCTCATATGACCTCCCAGTTCCCCATCCAGCGGCTGATGGCTACATTACCTGTAGTCCAGATGACTTTAAAGGGTGAAGCCATGACTGTGTGCTGATTTCTTGGTAGAGTGAGGCTTGGCCTTATTTAACCCAAAAGTTAAATATCTGCGGAGGACAGTGTCTACATAGTGGGTAACAATCCTCCACCATACCAAAATGTTTTGGTTTTGTGTACACTATAACAAGAGAGATGCTAAATGCCATAGAAAGAAGAGCCTTTAAAATTATGGAATTGAATCAGTATCTCTGGGTGGCTTCTTGTTTGTTAAAGTGCTCCTTTGTCTAGACTATGGACAATAAAGTTTTACATACAGTATTTCTAACAAGCAGTAAGCATTAAAACAAAAAAGAAATCCTTGAAATAAGCCATCCCTGCCCTTTCTAGAGGCTTGTACTGTGAAATAATTAATTTTCAAAGATCACAACAAATACTTGAGTCAGTTTTCAGTGCCTCTGTTGGGGACTTTGAGGATTAATTTCATCACAATGCCTAGAGCTACAGAGGTGGCTATGGGCTTGATGTAAAGGAGGACTATGGGGTAAGTGTTTTTCCCCATAGTTCTCCTAAGGGTCACGGGAGGGCATAAACTAGCGTCCTCCCGTCACCCAAAGCTCAGTATATAGCGAGCTACAGCTCACGGTATACTGAGACCGCCGCAGCCGGGACAGATTCCGGCATTACTGTCAAGATCCACCCAGCTGCGTGAGTGACAGCGGGCTCTGCCTATCTAGAGGCAGAGCCAGCTGTACCCGCCCCATCCATACTGCCAGACAGCGCTGGAGGATCGGACAGGAGAGGGGGGGAATCCCTGCAGGGAGCCGTGAATGACAGTCGCCACTCACTGCAGGGACATGATCTAGAAATCAGCGAGCGACTGTATGTGTTCGCTCAATTCACGCGTCGGCTCTAACTATGAGGATGAGTGAAAATCACTCACCTCATAGTTCTCCTTTAGAGCCGATTCATTATTTAAGTACTTGAGAGTGTATTACTGGGTACAGATTCACTTAAAAATGTCTATTTTTTTTTTTTCCACTGTCCATTCATCTTACTATATATTCATAAAAAATACATTCATCCTTACAAAATTATATCAGGAATTGCCGTGCATTCAGTAGCAGTGAAGTGACATTTAGCCAACATGCATCTGGTCTGATTAAAAGAGAGCATATATTAAGAAAGCATCCTGAGGTATACGTGGTCAGGGATAATAGATGTTAAAGTGACACTAAACTCGGAAGATAAACCTTAAAAATGCGTTCAAGTACTTTAACTATTAAAAAAAAAATGTTCTTTGTGTATCACTCGGCTGTAAAGTAGTCACCGCTCCAAGCTCGCCCTTGATGGACTACAATCTCAATACAAATAAGTAATCTAAACATGAGATTATAGTCCATCACAGGAGTGAGCTTGGATCGGTGACTACTTTACAACACATAGGGACCATGGGGAACAAAAGTAGTATTCACCCTCCAGAAGGAAGGACAGTGTCGGCACCAATTCAGAGACGATTTGAGGAACTTCAGCCGAGTGATACACACATTGTAAATAGTTAAGGTATTTAATTGCATGTTTAAGGTTCAAATCCTGAGTTTAGTGTCACATTAAATGTAGGAGAGAGAAGGGTGTTTTAATCATTTTTTTTCTGCTTTTCTTCACAGCCTCCTCAGATGGGAAATGTGCCAGTAATATCACAACAAGCATTAATATACAACCAACCTGTAATGAGACCACCTAATCCTTTTGGTCCTGTATCAGGAGCACAGGTAAAGCAACCCCCGTTAAGTGTACCTGTCAGTCACGTCACTCAGCGTATCAATCCACTTGTAGCCACTGACACGTCAAGCGCTGAGCAGCTTTGTGGCAGCAGTCACGTGATGTGACATAGAAAATGGCTCCAGACAGATACTCTACTGAAAAAGTAAAGGCTCATCCAGCCGTGCCTTTAAAAATACAAATAAAAAATGAGTAAAATCTTATGCCATTGAAGACGGTTCAGAGCAGATTGTGTTATCTTTGTATTTTATTATTTGTGGCGATAGATTGGAAGAAGTCTTTCCCTACCATGCTGCATCTTTGTGTAAAGGATAATGCGCAAAACCCATAACCGTGTCTGAGTTTGTGACCGGTGAGAAAACCGGCTGATCTTATGTCACGGACAGTGTGGGCTGAGAGTAGTGTGGAACGTTGCCTCAAAAGTCAATCAGTTTTCTGCTAGTAGTTTTGTTTGTAATTTCCCCCCCTCAATGGTCATGAGCAGTGTTGGGATTGTTTAACAGTAAAGGGACTTCTATTGCTGGCCTCTTTTTAAAAATGTATCTGGTTGGTCACACACAGAACAAGCAATGCTGTAAATACGCCAGCAACTCAGACATCATTAAAGCCAAAGGATCAGCATAGCAGGCAGGGAACTAGCATTGTACAAAGAAGATTTCTGGAATCGTAGCCTCCATTATTCTCTCAAGACAGATTCCTTTTAATGTAGCCGTGTCATCAGTGTGGGTGAAAAAAATTAAATAACTGGCGAGTATAAAGTACACCCCAACGCTGGTCTGTTCTGACCAGAGCAAAGCCAGTGGTACTGACCAGCCTTTCCCACTTCCTACAAGCCTTCCTTACATTCCTATTGGCTCATCACTTCGACAGGATGCTTCATGGACCAGTAATGTTGGAGTCTCTGAGGGGTCAGCAGACCTTCAACGTACTTGGCAAGCTCCATTTTCAATTGGTAGTGGTCATTTCCCTACTCCGAAGTGTCATACTATGTGGAGTGACATCACTTGTAGCACTTGTTCTCTAGCAGCTTTCTTTGTGGACTGGATTCCATATCTGCACTCAGTTATAAATGTTAAGAAAATAACTACAAATTAAAAACGAATCCATTTCTAGAATTCTACATTTAAAAAACATTTAAATTGACCAAAATCTGTTAATTTCTTCTTTTTTTTTTTTAAAGTGTTTAAGCTACTGAAGCAATTAAAACCAAGCTTTCGAAGGCGAGATTCCTCTTCTGGCTACTGAATACTACATGAATGTGTACAAATCTCCCATATTCCACGTCTGAGGTGCCTGTGTTGGCTCCTCTGGTTGTCTCATTTGGGTGTTGCCTTCATTTTCTGTAGGGAGAGTGCCAGCGTGGAATAAAAACCTGGGGAGAGATGCTTCAGCAGTTGTAGCCAAAATTTAAAAAGACACAGCAACTTTGCAAAGACGTTGTCACTTTGCCCAGAATGAGCAAAGGGGCTCCCTGACCCACCTTGCCAACACTCAACAGCTCTTTCGTCCATCACAGCATGCAACGTTACCTAGGTATGGGAAGCATGTGACCTTGTTGGGGAGTAGCGTCCAAACGCTAGGCCCGAGCACTGTTATATGTTAAGAGAAGGGATCCGTGGTGACATCCCCCTAGCTGTGGAGGGCAAGTGAGCACAAGAAGGGTAGAACTTTTACATTCCCAATTCAGAAGTGAGAGCAGGACGGATGTATCCGATTGTGGATGTCCTACCATAACAGCTGCAGGTTTCTCTGCACAGTATAACAATTCAGTATATTCCTTTGAATTTGTAACCATCATAAGTAACACATTTTCAGCACCACACTCTCTAGAAGACTGATTAGTAGGTCTTCTGGTGGGTGTAGTGCTGAAAATCTGTTGAAGGTGTTGCTCATGATGAGCCCTCTGGGAAGAGGAATAGGTTTAGTAGAGCGAAGTGAGTGCCAGACGCATGGTTAAGAGTTGAGTTCAATTTGTATTCATCATGGAAGTAAAAACGATAGTCAATCCATTTTGGAGGCTCACCTGATCACCCTTCCTTGGAGCTTGTACAGATGAGTGTTGGAAGAAAACTGGACCTAGAGCAGGAATCTTGTAGCTGATTTCTCTAGCATGGATTGAGGGCTTACCCTGGTCGCCAGTCAAGCAGGAAACTCGGGAAGCAAGGTGGGCTTGGTGGCGTTCCTTTATGGGGGTGTTGCAGCAGTATAGGTGGATATGGATTGTCATATCTACATGTTAAAGTGGAGTTAACGGGATCGGGATAGTACAGTGATACCTCGGTACACGAATGCTTCTGTTCGCGGACAGGAAGTTTGGCAAAATTTTGCTTCCGTTCGCAAACTCGGCATCGGGTGACGAACACAACCGCAGCCATCTTCCCCGCTCTGACACATGGTCGTGGCTTCCTCTAGTCGAGATCGCAATCTGATCACAGTTTGATTCGGTTCGCGACCAGAATCGTGGAACGAATTACGTTCGTGAACCGAGATACCATACCACTGTACTTGATTAACCAAGGTATTGGAAATGCTGCAATAGTACATGCTGGAGCATTTGTTTAATATTGCCTACCATCTCTATGGTTTGGCCAGTCGTGAGCTGATTGATATCATTACATGGTGAGGAAACAGTGTCTTTGGTCTTTCTATAGCCATCAGCTGTGGGAGCCCTATCCTCCCCCTCTTTTATTTTTTTTTCCAGTTTGTTTGAATGAGCTAGTCTAGGAAGTGTGCACACTTGCTCCTCTGTGTATTTTACATCATTCATTCTCCCGCTTCAGACGTTGATTGTGGCTCACAGACCATTCATCAGTTCGGAGAGGGAGAACCATAAATGCATGCCAGTGTCTTTCACGAGCTGTTCTTTTTAAAGTCTCTCCGTTGTGGTTGGAGCAGCTATTATGTGACCAGCATTTAGTTTAGTTCCCCTTGTACTAGCAATGCCACTTCTGGGAGGAGATGGCTGGACATAATTCAGGCAATTAACAGACAACTTTAATGGGTACATGTCGTCTGAGAATATTGGAGGCCAAGGTTTTCTAATTAACACATGAGAGCTAGCCTCACACCACTATTTGGGCACATCACTATGATTGGCATCCTCACAGGCCAGGGGGACTATGCAGAAAACATTGAGTTAGCAAACTGCTTTACCATGAGAAGTCATACTTCGTATATTAG